CTACCACAACCAGAGCCAGGACGGTGAGTGACCGGGAGCTGGATCACACTCGTCCCTCCACGACCCCCCATGGACCGGCCGGGGTCGTCCAGATCAGCTATTTCCAAGTTTCGGCCTGAGACCTGCCAGACCCCCAAACAGGAAAGAACCAGCGCCATTTCAGTTTCAGCTGCATTTCTGCTTGGCGGCTTGAAGTCCAGGCAAGGTGACCACAGGGTGGTGCTGACCACGTGTCCTCGCCAGGGTCTCACACGCTGCGGTGAGTGTCCGGCTGCGACATGGGGCCGGACGGGAGCCTGCTGCGCGGATACTGTCAGGAGGCCAAGATTACATCACCCTGAACCAGGACCTGCGCTCCTGGACCGCCAATAGCATCTCAGCACACTTCTCTAAACGCAAGTCGGAGGTTGGTGAGGCCGATCACCAGAGGGCCTACCTGCAGGGCCCGTGCATGGAGCGGCTCCGCAGATACCTGGAGATGGGGAAGGACACGTTGCTGCGCACAGGTGAGGTGGGGACCCCCCACACACACACACCCTGCGCCTCGCACCCAGCTTCCCACGGGGTGTAGGGGTGTAGGGTGTTGGGGCATAGCTCAGAGGTAGAATGCTGCCCTGCAAGGGCACTGGATTGATGTGGAAGGAGAAGGAAGTCACCAGGTCGCTCTTTCCCTGAAGAACAAACAACAGGGGCATTAATCTTGGCAAAGGCTGGGGTGTGTGGGAGCTCTTCCTCACTGAGCTCCTTCTGTGCTGCCCTCCATGTCTTTGGAGTCTGGCTCCAGCTTTTCTGCTTTTCTTGACCTTCACCCAGCTCAGGACCAGAATCCCCTCCCACCCCCCATGCTCCAAGACGAAGCATCCCACCCTGCACTGTCATTCTCTGATGCTTCAAAGAATGCATTGTCTCAGGTGCCTGTGTTGTGCTGGCCTCTAGGTTATGGACACTCATCCATCCCCCACCCCAGTTCTCTTTCTGCTGGGGTCCCCAGAAGAAAGCAAGATGCCTAAACCTTACAACTATTCCCCTCAGATCCCCCAAAGACACATGTGACCCATCACCCCAGACATGAAGGGGACATCACCCTGAGGTCCTGGGCCCTGGACTTCTACCCTGCGGACATCACCCTGACCTGGCAGAGGGATGGGGAGGACCT